CCACGGCAGGGCGCTCTCGCACCCACACGCACCCACATTCCGACGAGGGCAATGCGGACTTGTTGATGAACCTGCCCATCTTCAGAATGCGTGAGGAAATTGGGATCCTTGGAGAAATCCCACACAGACATGGGGAGAACATGCAAACTCCACACCTGCTGTGGCCTTGGCCGGGAATCAATTTTTAACTTTTTCAACAATGTTATAATGAAACATTATTCGTGTACCTGCTGTATGTGTGTGTGTGTCTACTGTGTATGTCTATATGTACACATTAGATACATACACACACGTATGGTATCAACTGTTGTTTCAATGTGCTAAGATCTTTTTTAAAAATTTAATCTTTTTTGTATTTTTTCCATTACCATTTAGTGCCCTCATATCTCCCCCCTCCCCCTCGCAATCACCACTCTGCTCTCCATGCCCATGAGTCCTTTTTCCATTTGCTCAATCTCTCCACCCCCTCACCTCCCCTGACCAAGCTGGCATCCTGCTCTCCATCTATCAGTCTGTGCGCATTTTCCTTGTTCATTCAGTTTGTTCTTTAGATTCCACATATGAGTGAAATCATGGTATTTGTCTTTCTCTGACTGGCTTATTTCACTTAACATAATGTTTTCCAGGTCCATCTATACTGTTGCAAAGGGTAAAATTTTCTTTTTTATAGCTGAGTAGAATTCTCCGTGTAAATGTCTCATAGTTATTTTATCTACTCATCTATTGATGGGACACTTGGGCTGCTTCTGTATTTTGGCGATTGTAAATAACACTGCAACGAACATAGGGGTGTCTAAGTTCTTTTGAATTATTGTTTTTGGTTTCTTTGGATACATTCCAAGAAGTGGAATCACTGGGTCAAAAGGCAGATACATTTTTAATTTTCTGAGGTATCTCCATACTGCTTTCCACAGTGGCTGCACCAATCAACATTCCCACCAACATTACAAAAGCATTCCCCTTTCTCCACATCCTTGCCAGCACTTGCTGTTTGTTGATTTATCGACAGTAACCATTCTGACAGGTGTGAGATATCTCACTATGGTTTTAATTTCCATTTCTCTGATGATTAGTGACCTTGAGTGTTTTTTCATATATCTAGTGGCCGTCTATATGTCCTCTTTGGAGAAGTGTCTGTTCAGGTCCTTTGCCCACTTTTTAAATTGGGTTGTTGGTTTTTTGGTGTTGAGTTTTGTAAGTTCTTTGTGTATTTTGGATATCAACCCCTTATCAGATGTATCTGCAATTGTATTCTCCCATTCTGTGGGTTGTCTTTTTATTGTGTTGATGGTTTCCTTTGCTGTGCAAAAACTTTTTAGGTTGGTATAGTCCCACTTATTTATTGTTTTGTTTACCTTTCCTGGGGAGATATACTGATAGAATATTGCTATGAGCAATGTCTGAGATTTTACTCCCTATGTTTTCTTCTGCAATTTTTATGTTTTCAGGTCCACATTTAAGTCTTTGGTCCATTTTGAATTTATTCTTATGTGTGGCATAGGAAGGTGATCTAGTCTCATTTTTTTGCATGTATCTGTCCAATTTTCTCAACACCACTTATTGAATAGACTATCTTTAGCCCATTGTCTGTCCTTGCTGCCTCTGTTGAACTTTAATTGACTATAAATATGTGGGTTTATTTCTGAGCTCTCTATTCTGTCCCATTGACCTATGTTTCTGTTTTTATGCCAGTACCATGCTGGTTTCATTACTATGAAATTGAAGAAGATACAAATAAGTGGAAGCACATACCATGTTCATGGATAGGAAGAATTAACATTAAAATGTCCATACTACCCAAAGCAATTTATAGATTCAATGTAATTCCCACCAAGATTCCAAAGATGTATTTCACAGGACTAGAACAAATATTTCAAAAATTTATATGGAACAACAAAAGGCCCCGCACAGCAACAGAGATCCTGAAAAAAATTTGCAAAGTTGGAGTAATCACGCTACCTAATATCAAACTTTACTATAAGAGAATGTACTAAGATCTTATTCAATCCTTATTACACCCTATGAACAGGTTTCACATTCTCCTTTTACAGATGGAGAAATGGAGGCTCAGGGCGGAGAGTAGCTGCTGCACAATCTCACAGCTGGAGAGTGGTGGGGCAGGATTCGAACCAAGGGCTGATGCTCAAGTCCATGCCTGAGCCACTCTGCAAATGGGGATTGTGAGCCCGGATTTCCATGGGACAGGTTTTCTTTAACCATCAAGATCAGGCTCCCTGGTTTATAGCTAACCCCACCCTCTCTCATGACACTCACTGGAGGCTGGGGCTCTGAGGTTCTGAGAGTCTTACCCACCAGGCCTACTCTTCTTCAGTATAATCCTCAGTGGATTTTAAAAGATGACCCCTTTCACTTTGTTCCCAATTGCCTTGCCAGTGCCAGGGGGAAGCACTCCTATCATAGTCCGGTTCTGAAATCTGCTGAGGAAACAGGAGTATGAGGCAGGTGACGCCCTATCTCAGCCACAGTAAGCTCAGGACTGGAAAGCAGGGTCTGGCCCCAAATATCTGGCTTGGCTTTGAAATAGGGACCTCAGATTTGACTGCTTCCAAGTTCAGATGAATCTTGGTTGAAAAAGAATGATCAGTAGAGTGACTACAGCCACTATCAGTCTTTGAGACTATATGTAAACGAATTCATCGTTCCTCTCCATTTGTGGAAGAAACATACTGAGAAAATCCCATGTGGGAAATAGGAGATTTAAATTATATTGTTTGTTCTCTGTAATTGAAAAAGAGCTGTGTACATGAAGGAAGGAGTACAGTGTTCTCAAAACACTCCGTGGATGTGAAATGCTGCGGGATACAGGGGTTCCCAGGGTTTAAGGTTGGGCTTTGCTGCAGATCTTTTCAGAGCTATAAAAACACTAATTCTCACTGCAAATTTCTAAGAAGGGAATATAGTTCTCAGCATTTCCAGGGTTCATTTGACCACGAATCTTTTCACAAAATCTTGGGGAGGGTGGGCAGACCCTGGAATATATTTGCAACCCCTAGAATCAAAAATTACTATTAAGTATAACTCCTTACATGTGCAGAATATTTTATAGCTGGTCCCTGATGAACTTTCAGATATGATTTAATTCCTAGGGTTTTCTCAAGAGACAAAGAAGAGGGTCATTTGAGATTGTGGTAGGCAAGAGGAAGACAGGGGGTGGCATCAGCAGAGGAACTTGGGGCACCTGGAGAAGCTCCAGAGAAGCTGGGGAAAAAGGCCACTTCACGGGGTTCCCAGTCTGTCAAAGGATATGGGCCTTCACCTCCTCAGGAGATTCCCTCCTTCCCCAGAGCCCAGTGGAAGACCACCCCCCTAAACCTCCCCTAGGTCTCCAGGCAGCATGAGGCCCCAGCCAGGCACTTTCCTGGCTTTCTTGCTGCAGGACATGGCATGGCTGTTGGGGAGCACAACCTTCCAGGAGACCCATGTCATGGCCGCTTGTCCACAAGGACTTGAGCCAAGGCTGGCCCTGGGCCACATGGCCAGATTACAGCCATGCTCTCTGCCTCCAATTGTATTTAGGATGCTCAGGATCAATGAATAATATGATCACTCCAATCATACGAAAGTGTGCTAATCCAACATGCTAACCCTCTTGGGACAAACCTACTTTTCAAGGGTGACGTTTGCCTAATGGTGGGATTGCAGGGCCTGCTGCAGAGCAATGAAGGAGATGTCTTTGACCTGCAGTGCCTTCCCAGGACGCCATGAGTGATCTCTCGTATATCCGTCCCTGTTAACTACTCTGCTTTTCCAGGTGCACTATTGCATTTGTGTATCCAGCAGGAAAATACAATGCTTCTCAGAGTTATGAATATAATGTTATTGGAACTACCAGAAGGCCTTCACTACTTAGCATTCATTCATCCGGGCTCCTGGGACTGTGAGGAGAGTAACCACATAATGACCACAGCTACCAAGTCCCATTCGAAGAACTTTGTATGTATTAACTTGCTTAAGCCTCACAGTGACACGGTGGAAGAGATGCTATTTTTGTCTTCTCCACTTTATAGAAGAGTAAAACAAGAATAGAGCCAAACAATGTGCCTAAGATCAACCAGCTCAGAAGTGGAGATGTAGGACTTGCACTCAGGCTTTCTGGCAGTTCTTGGTGACTGTTCTGCAGAGATGCCAATCTGCCCAGGGCTGAAGGGCAGAGGGCTGGTCTCAAACATGAGCAGCTGGTATTGCAGACCTGCAGAGGCCTTTAGAAGTAGCTCTGCCCATGCTGCTCAGACAAAGTACAAACTGGAAGGCATATGCAACTTAAAATAGAATCTTGTAGAAACGAATGTGCTATCAAGAGGAAGGAATCTGAAATAGGCAATGTTTAAGAATTAGTAGGGGATGCTGTGTTGGCCAGAGAACATTTCCAGGTAAAACAATCCTCCAAAAACCTAATAAAAATCTAACAAACTGCCTTGGCTGGTGTAGCTCAGTGAATTGAGTGCAGCCTGTGAACTGGAAGGTCACTGGTTCAATTCCCAGTCAGGTCACATGCCTGGCTTGCAGCCAGGTCCCCAGTTGGGGGCATGTGAGAGGCAACCCATAGATGTTTCTCTAACACATCAATGTTTCTCTCCCTCTCTTTCTCCCTTTCTGTCCCTCCCACTAAAAAATAAATAATTTTTTTTTTAAAAACCTAAAAAACCAAACTAAACTAAAATATAAATAACAACAAAGCCCCACAGAAAACCACCAGCAGGCGCTCACCTCTTCTATTTGTGGATAAAACTGACAGTTCTAGAAGTAAAGGGAGAGAGATAGACAGGATTTCAAAGTATGGAAATGATTTTTGTTTTTTTCATTTGGTGCCAGGTTTCAAAGAAGGAAGAATATGGCTGTGACTGTTACACATTTATTCTGTTTAACACCCATCCAGATGCCTTAATGGGCTTTTAGGAGTGGGAAGGTCCCCACGGCTGCTTCTCAAGGCCAGTAAAGGACTCTTCACCAGGAGTGTGGAGCAGGCCCCATCGTGGTCATCACTTCTTTTTGAACACCTGACGGCACACCTGGTCACCGCATTTCAGCTCCTGCAACATCAGAAAGTGGTGAGTGATGAGCAAGTGGGGCTCTCCGTCTGCCCCACCCCTGGCCCTCTTGGCCTCAGTGATTTGGGTGGGGAGGGTGGGGGGAGCTATAATAAAGAAGACACTTATTCTGGCCAAAACACATCTCACAGATCCAATCAGCTGGCATGCCCTGCAGGTAGCAGTAATTTTATTTTGACATTTGAATTGAACTTGACTATAAAAATGAAAAATTCAAAGAAATTACCCTCTTGGGCGAGATTTCTCCTACTTTCATGATTAAAACAATATCGTCTAATTTGCAAAAGCCAGCAATGCCAAGAAGAAGAGAAGGATCTAGTGGGAAGAAGTGTTCAGATGACAAGAACCTAGGAAGATGCCAGCTCGTGAGCTATGTCCCTCTACCCAGTGGACTCTCTGGCTTCTGGAGATTAGAACATTTGTTGGTGATGGCCCAGGCAATGAAAGAGTGTGGGCTGCAGAAGGGCCCCCCAGGCCTGCCTGTGCAGGCAAGATGCTGTTTTTCATCCAGAGAGAGGGTGCCCCAGGCTCTGTCCCTACCACCTGATCCCCTGAGGGAGGAGAGAAAAGCATGAGTGTAGGGACCACCATGAAATCATTGCAGTTGACGATGAATACATTGTCTTAACCACAGAGACTGTTGGGTATTGTACTACAATTAAAAAGATTCATCATCCAAACCAGAGCAGGTAGGGAAAACAGTCAATGGAAAACATGGCAAATGCCTTCCATTTATTATCAGTTGTGATGTTGCCTCTGCAATAAAAATCTCAGGTAAGGCAAGGCTGGCTCTGAAGGGCATTATGGTGACCTGATTACTGACATTGGAGCCAGACACCTGCCTGACACCACAGATGAATGAATGAATGAATGAATGAATGAACGAATGAACAGCCATTCATTGAATGAACCACTCATTTAACAAATGAGTGACAGAATGCATGAAGGAATGAAAGATTTTTTTTTCATTATTTGAATGTTTGACCCATAAATAGCCTTGAAGATTGAATAATTAAAAATTAAGTTACCTATATAGATATAGTTTAAGGATGTTAGCAATGGTACCTCCTGCTCTGTTCTAGTACCAAATAACCTAAACTATTTTGGGATCAGGTAGACATACCTTAGGGTAAGAGGCCAATTCATGTGGTCAACAAGTAGTTCACAGGCCCAGCTGCCCCCTATCGATTCCATCTGCACCCCAAACCCTCTTTTTCCAGGCTCACATCACTGTGAGGAGGCCTGGTCCCCCTGCTTTTGGGACATCTTAATTCTGTGCCTCACATTTCTCCCCAGCTGGTCTTTAACAAGTCCCCTGCATTTCTCCATGGGTCTCAGCTCCCTAACTCAGCATTTTGAACTTTCATTTTAATTGTAGCCATTCACAGAAACAGCCATATAAATTTTTTCCTGGAGTCCCCTGAGCCAGATAGGAATGGCTTTCTGACTATATGACCGTACGCAGTTGGCTAGAGCTCACGGGAGAGGTGCAGAGCCATTTTTCTTGTCAAACTGCCTGGCTAGATGAACAGGCAGTTTGCATGAGCACAGTGGAAGGGAGCTGGGCAGTCGCTTGGACTTACCAGGTATAGCTTGTCCCCTTCAACCCACTGCCTCCAGCCACGGTTCTCCTTTTCCCCCTTCTGCACACACACGAGGACATCGCCTTCCCAGGTGATCAGCGTCTGCAATGACAAGTTCCCAGGCAAATCAACTGCATGGTCTTGATTGGGACTGAAGAAACCTACACCTGCTGCTGCATTCCTGCAGCTGTTGCTGGGCTCCTGCTCGTCCGCTGGGCAGAGCCCTCAGCCTCGGCCAAGGTCCTTCCAGCCTCATTTTCCACACACCTGCCATTCTGGCTGAACCAGCTGACTGTGGTTGGTTCTGTCCTCTTTTAAAGAATTCTACTTTTCCATTTTATCATAGGGTAAAGACAGCATTCCAAAAGAGAGGTGGGGGTTGGGGGGGTGGGGGGTGTAGAGTGGGGGAGATGATGAATTTGACTGTATAACAATGTAAAATTTCTAGAAGGGAAAAGTACCTCAAAGTCAACAGATGAGTAACAAACTGGGAAAAATAATTGTAACACATGTCAGACAAAGACCTGATTACCTTATATAAGGGGCTCCTATAAATCAACAAGAAAAAGATCATTAACCTAATAGGAAATTCAACAAAGGACGCCAACTAGCATCTTACAAGGGAAAAAAAAACACAATCCTAGCAGATGGCTTTTAAACATAAGAAAAGATATTCAACTTCGTTCATAATAAGAGAAATGCAAATGAAGGCTGTTTGTTTTTTAGATACAATTCATCTTACAGTCAAAGATAAAAGAGTGATACCACACTGCAGAGAAGCAGGCACCCTCCCCCATGGGCATGCAATCAGTATTAATCTTATATCACCGTTCAAAATATAACATTACATATACTAGAAATTCTACTTGTGGGAACTTTCCCTACAGGAATCCCATTGTGAGTACTGCCCATTGTCTACCTCTTTGGCAAGGGTCACACAGATGGCTCTAGGGCCAGACTTGTCATCCAGAAGTAGGAGGGTAGACCTGTTCCTGGTCCTGGTCCTGGGTTTCCTCCGGGAGCAATGCTGACTGGTTAGCATCATAGGGGTGGCAGCAGAGATGGAGAACCTGCGCTGGCTGACCAGCTGGCTGGAGAAGGCACAAACCTCCTAAACCCCAAGAGGCTCAAGTCCCTGTGCAGGTATTTGCAGATCAGAAATCACCCAACTCCTCCTCTGCTCTTCTTTTACCTCTTCTGGGATGTGCATGGGACAATCTGTACTACCCACAGGTGACGTCACCCTCTTCTGTGCCAGAATTAGGCCTGGACGTGTACATCCTGAAATGATGGTGTCACTCCCATCTAAACCGTGGTGTTGTGTGGGTGCTGTTGTTCCTTGGGGATGTGCAAACCGTGTCACCCTTCTATGAACAATATTATGTGAAGGACTAGATGTTTACTTTTCTCCTATATCTTATATACCCAGTTGGCGATAAACTGAACCGTGTTTTTAAATGTAGTGTCCTTACATAATCAAGTCTATTTTTTGGGACAAATCTCTCTTCTACAGATTGTTTACATCTAGCTGTTTCTCAAATAATACTTGACCTTGATCATATTATATATTTTATATACAATTTTTTCCTCCTCATATTACCCCTCAACACATTGAAGCAAAAGACGGGAAGCCTCCTAAATTCTGTCAGCAGGTGGCTGGTTAGCTATTGCGTGGTTCAGCCCTGCTACGCAGCCCCTGAAAGAAGGAGGCAGTTCTATGCTTAGGGAGAAGAGCAGTCTCCATCGTGTATAGTTTAAGCTTAAAAAGCCAGGAGCAGGGCCGTGTACATAAAACATGGGGGGATGTGTACGCATGCATGTGTTTGTGCAGGTTCCCCCAAAGGAGGTAAAACAACTCTTATAGCGACTGCCCCTGGGAAGCAAACTAAGAGGCTGGGGGCAAGGGTGGGAAGAAAATTTTAGTTCTTACTCTTAAACTCTTTTTAACCATCTGTATGTATTAATATTCCCCAAATTAATTTAACAATGAAATTCTGCATGCTTTCTAAAGCCTCACATCTTAGAATGTCTTGAAGCAGCTTAACACACAGGTTGTTCTCCTAGATCTTCTGGGAGGGAGATGTTGGCTGGAAAATTCCAGAGTCCCCTTCCAAACAGATGAGAAAGGATTGTGTCTTCCAATTCCCTCTGCCCATATTGCCTCACACATCATGGACACCTAATACATGTTTATTGAATTAGTGCCTATCTCCCTGAACAGACAATAAGCTCCATGAAAGAAGAGGCCATGCCAGTTGTTCATTTCTGCAGCCCCAGACTCGGCAGTCACCAGTGCATAGGAGATGCTGGATAAGCCTTGTTGAACACATCTGTGTTTGATTTTGTTAAATGGAATCTTGAAGTAAACCCACATAGGGGAATAAATGAGCGTGTGTATTTTTTGATGGTACTTCTTGACAACGACTCAGTCAAGCCCACCTCCTTGCCCTAGTGTCTATGGTACCACCAGAGTGCACACATGGCCATAGATTTGGACACTGGATGGTAATCGTCCATCTACTTCCCTACTTTCATCAAGCTAGGAGATCTTTGAGGCAGAAAAGGGGGTCTGATTCATCACTTCAGCAATAGCTCCTGACCTGGGGCCTAACAAATTTGTAATAAAAACAAAGAAGAAAAATGTTGGTGTGTGAGGGCCTGTCCTAATATTTTCTTTGAATAACTCATACTAGATGGCAAAATTAAAAGTTATTCTGACCCAAAAATACATTGATTATGAATCATGGTAATACCTACATATGACAGCTTTACTTTTACATAAAACAGGCCATAGTTAGTATTCTTTATCCCTCCATCAGAGGATGCTTTTAGAAGAGGCTCAATTGCCTTAAAAGATCTTGAGGCTGAGCAAGTGGATATAAGTGAGGAAAACCATTGCTTCTGAGTGGGGGAGCCAGGAGAGGGAGAGCGTTCTATGAAGATGAAGATGTGCCTGCAGTGAGTTAAAGAAGGAAGTTGGGCCCACACTGTGATTTCACTATCATAGTGTCCATGGTTAACATCATTAAAAACAGCCTTTTATGGTAAAGTAGAGGCAGGTACTGTATCAATGTTAAATTTATGGAAGTTGATAAATACACTGTGAGAATATCCTAATTCTTAGAAAATACACACGGAATTATTTAGGGGTAACACAACAGATTGTTCAGAAAAAAATATGTATGTAATAGAGAGAGAGGATGCACAAAAATAAAGCAAAAGGAGCAAGATGGTAATAATAGGGAATTCTTGGTAAAGAGTGTAAGGATGGTCCTTGTCATATTCTTGAAACTTTTCTGTAAATTTGAAACACTCCCAAATAAGTGTATTTTTTTTTGAAGGAAAACAGCTCTCTATATTGAGTATTGAAGAACACTGTTGACACATTTAACACCCCCCGCCCTGCCCCCGCTCAGGGTACTTGCCCCCATTAAGAGTTACCCCTGCCAGAGGTAGGGCCAAGCCTCCTCTCTGGCATCCCCTGTGGCGGGGGACCTTCCTGCAGGAGGCTGCTTCTCTTGGGCTCTTGGGTGACATTATTGGTTTTATTGGTTTTAGTTGCTATCATCTTTATCTGCTTTTTCCCTGCCCCAATTACTCAGATTTTAAATTGAGATACAAGTCACATATGATAAAATTCATCCTCTTAAAATATATAACTCAGTCATTTTTAGTATATTCACAAGGTTGTAAAAGCATCACCACTATCTAAATCCAGAACATTTTCACTGCCCCCAAAAGACACCCCACATCTATTGGCAGTCACTCCCCTCCGTCTGCTCCTGGCAACCACCTTCTGTTTGTATGGATTTGACTATTCTGGACATTTCATATAAATCACACAACATGTGGCCTTTTGTGTCTAACATCTCTCACTTAGCATAATGTTTTCCAAGTTCATCCATGTCATAGTATGAATTAGTACTTCATTCCTTTTTTTTTTTTTTTTTTTGACTGGAATGATAGTCTATTGAATGAACATACTTCTTTTAAATTCAATTTTGTCTTGGGTAGCTTGTATGTTTTTGAAAGGGACTTTAAATCCACTTAGAAACAAGTCATGGTAGGCAGTGAGAAATATGTATGACCCACAGGAAGGAAGAAGGAGGTCCCCGGGCTCCTCAGGTAGAAATCAGCTCCATGATCAACATGGTTTTATTGCTTTTGCTTCGGGATGGCAAAGAGCTGGGCCCTTTAGGGCCCTGTTGAACCTCTGCTGCCCCCCCCACCCCCACACCTCTCCTTCACCCTGCTGAGTGGGAGATTTTCAGAGGGGCTCGTAAGGGTGGCCAAGGAGTTGGGAAGTGGAACCCTGGAGAACAGGGGCGTGGGAAGTACTACACAAAGGCCCACATGCGCGCACACGCACGTACATACACATGTGCACACAGACACACAGTTTGTGTCTGCACTCAAGCGTGCCACCCACTCCCTGGTGCCCCCTTCTAGTTTGTGGGTTCCAGTCAAGTTACAGGAAGTAGGCAGTCCCGAGGGCAACTGCTCTGTGCTGATTGTCTTGGGAACAGCTCTTCGCTGGAAACTGAGTAGACTCTGTCCTGGGTACTTAGCCCCCACCAGAGTGAGAGCGAGGGGGGGGGAGGAGAGAGAAAGAGAGAGAGAGAGAGAGAGAGAGAACCTTAACTTTTTGCTGCACCCAGCAGAAGCATAAGGTAGGAAAGGGGGTTCTCCTTCTGCAGGGCTAAGAACTGATCCTGGGGCCGACGGTATCTGAGGAAAAGGAGAGTGAAAAGCGGAGTGGCAGAAGAAAGTGGGTGTTAAGAGTGTTAACAGACGGAATCCTTTAAGAGTCAAAAAGGGCCAAAAGAACATGATTTATTTCAGGAAGGGCAAGTTCTCTACCATCCAAGGTGATAAAAGAACAAGTCAGAGAGAACAGGCCTATTTTTCAACCCAAAACGGAAAGACCAGGGAAAATAAATCATCATGAACTGATTAGGTTAGGACAGAAGAGTGATGCAAAAATTCTGAGCAAATTTTCCTATGAATTCCGGTGTCTGATGAATTGGCCTTCTAGCCACACAGTTCAGAAAAGCCCTGTCGATCCATCAACCTCTTAGGGAGGGACTCACAAGGGGCCGTTCCAGGGCTTGGAAGCCTAGGCTCTCACGCCAAGTCTGCTCTGATGGAAGCATTTCCAAACTGCTTTTCATTTCCTACTTTTCTTTAGCAAGAAGCACTAAATATAATTCAACCTTGACATGATGGCTGAGATTATCAATGCCGCAGGACAATTTGAGAAATAAAATGTGTCCTGCTCCCTTGGTTTTGGAAGTCAGTAGAAAAGCATGACGACAACTTTTACTTCCAAACCCAGGAGAGGTGCCAGGGCTCATGTCCCTTGTTTTGGAGGAAGAGTTGAGACCTCTGACTTTGAAAGAGCCCCTGGAAGCAAGAGAGAGGAGGGACTCTGGGGAAAGAGGGGCTCCTGGCGAATGGGACAGCCGGGGGGAGGGTCCTGCTGTAGGGGAGAGCACGAGTACCTGGGGACAGGACACCCAGCCTCACCGCCCCCAGCTTGGGAGCCATGGCAGAGGTCCCGGCGGCTGCGTTGGCACAGATGGGGTGGGGGCTATGAATATTCAAGCTGTGGGCCCTTGTGTAAACTGCGCGGGCACTAGTGGCCAATGGCAACCATGTTAAAGGACAAACCAGAAACCCTTTCCTGGACTGTGTAACCCTTGGGATTCTTATATGATGCTAAATTGGGGTGGGAGAATCCCTAAATTCAGCTCAGATTGGATTTCTCCCCATTTCTACCGGCGGGGACTGACCAGGTGTAATTGAATCTGGAAAACCAAAGACAAGTGCACTGAGTGTGAGTGTGGACAGTGCGACAATTGGTCACTAGGCTACACCACGTGGTGACTCTGGAGGAGAGGGGACGTGTTGTCACCCCTGCCTTCCCCACCACCACCTCACTTCTCCCTGCGGCTTCCACTCTGCCTATTTACAAACTACTCTTCTGGGTGAGGGCCTGCTGCTTCCAAACTCGGTTCTTGGGCTGTGAGGTAACGCCCCGCATGTGCACTCAGTGTTGTCCGCTGGCTTTCAGGATCCTTCCTGTACCCAAGCTGTTCAAGAGACTGGCAGCTTGGCCTCATGCAGGGGGGCTCTCCTCCATTATATCCTGTGAGTTAAGGCGATGCTGACACAGAAGCCACACACTTGCCCGAGATTTCTGTAAGTTACTGGGAATGCAGAAAGCCTGTCTTCATTTATAAAGTATACTGAATTCTTTGTTTGCTTGGCATTACATTTAAAAACACCAGTGGGGGCACCTACAATTGAGATATTTCATATAAAAACCATGAAGTCTCAACATCTCTTGAAAAGAAAAATACCAACACAAGGCGTCAGTTTTTTGTGGAAATGTGTGGCTGGTGCTGAGCAGGGCTGCCCCTCTGCTGAGGCTACACCATTCAGCTCACACAGTTGAGTCCTCCCTGTGATACCCCACCTTGCCTTTTCCTCTTTGCCTGCCCACCCATGTCAGACCCTGGAGAGGCCAGTATCCTTTAATCTGCCCCTCGCTTATAAGCTCAATGCAGACACCAGTTTGCTTCTTCCTACGTAAAATAATTGTCAGTATTCCTAAGTCCATTTTGGTCCCCCTTTCCAGGTTGTTTCTGTTGTTTTTTCTTTGTGACACCAAATAGCCAGGCCCTGCGGAGTGTATGAGTGAAAGACGCCCCCCAAAGTTAGTACCTTAACATTCCGGTTGTCCAGGCCCTTGGTATACTCGTCAAACTCCACTCCAACAGTGAAATCCAAGTCATAGTTGCGGAACGTGCTGTTGGTTTTCGTCTTGAAGTTATCACCGTCTTGATTGATGATCTTCGTCTGAGTCAGGCGTACTGCGATCTTGCGGGTGGCAAAATCAATATCTGTTGGCAAAGGGAGTTGTAGAGGTTCTGATGTGCTCAGCCAGACTCATTCATTTCCTTAACAAAGCCAAGCAATCAAGACCAGGGACACAGACTGGAGCAGGCCACATTTCTTTGCTTAAGTGGGAAATAGGAGTTGCTTTACATATGACCAGCATGGGCATCTCAGTCAAGCGTTGGGGGCCCTAGGGTTTCTCATGCCTTCTCAGGAGCCCTGATGGTAGGGGGAGGTAGCAGGCAGGGCTCACACCTGAGGGGCAACTCTCCAATATGCGTTCATGTACACATGTGCGTGCATGGACGTGGGTGCGTGCGTGCGTGCACACCCCTCCGCCACAGCAGCTCCATTCTATTTATTTGACATATTAGGTTTTCTTTTAAGGGTTTGCTGAAGGTAACACTTCATGTTTAAAAAAGAAAAAGGACTGTTTAAAAATAACTGGTCAGGATCACGGGTAAAGATGGATTTTGTTAATGTCTACCACAGGGAAGAATACATACAAACTTCTATTTTTAAAGCAGAATAGGGGCTTACTTAGCTAGGCTGTTCTCCCTTACTCATCAGCGCCCAGTACAGCATTAAGCATACTTCAGATACTCAATAAACACTTGCTTAGAGATGTGTTTTGTTGTTTTTAAGGAAAAGATGGGCACTTGTTCATATTTTTATTATGTCAAACAAACAAAAGTAGAGAGGAAAGTACAAGGAACTCTGTATTCATCACCCAGATTCAGCAATTATGGAGATTTTGCTGCATTTATGCTCTCTACAGCTTTTCTTTGTCTGGATACTTTAAAGGAAATCTTACTTCTCTCTTACAGACAATTAGTAAGTAAAAGGAAGCATGCCCTTTAATGGACTGTTTCATTTCCTAAGCTTTGCATTTTACAGTAAGAAGCTAAGTGCTGAGCTCACCTCCTTGTTAACCTCTGGTTATACATAAAACATCACCCAAGCCAAAAAGTCACTATCTTGTGGAATAAACCTAGGATAATTCTGGAACTTCTAAATTTCTCTCCTTGCTATGAACATCATTAAGCTCTTGGTCACTAGCCATTATCATTGACCCCCTTTATGCCTGTAAATTCTCAAGATAGCTTTGGGTACCAAACTAAGTCTTTAATTTTTTTTTCTTTTTTGGAAAATCCACCTAGAAGATTTCAAAAAACAGTAAGATTGATTCTATTATATCCCAAGGGTAACCTCAAGGGTAAGGACAGTTCAGGTTTATTGAGCGCTGTTTCTCTGAGACCTCCAGCCCCATCATCTCACACTGTGTGCCCTCTAGTGGGGAGTAAATACTGTTGTGTCAGAGAGAGACTAGCAGTTACCAACAGTTCAGGACTCAGGTCATTTTGGAGAATTAACATCTCCTCTGGCTGTACCTCTACCCCTTCTGCTGCCCTTCTATGGTCTCTAAGCATCACTTCCCTCATCCTCTCTCCTCATTTCCTTTCTGATCCACTTGCTTCTGAATCTCTCTGTGGTCACTATCGCTCTCCTTCTCCCAAAGAACCAAGAAGAAGCCCAAGCTGGCTGCTTGGACAACAACAGAATCACATCTGCATGGGAAAGGGCCCTGGCTAGTCTTTTGGACCCTAAATTATATAAAGTCAGCTTTTATCATTAGAGAATAATTTCAAGTAACATCAGTCATCCCAGGAGGTAAAAGGATTTCATACCTGTATCCTAATTTGAAAAGATGAATTAGGTTCAAGTTGGCATGAGCTGGAGCGTGAATGCCAGTGCCTTGCTCAACTATTGTTCACTACTTTGGTTGAGGACCTGCCATGACTAAGAATTCGCCAATGAGTCCCTGAATTGGTTGTCCATCAGGATTGCCTGGGAAAAATGTAAAAATACAGATTTATGGGCCCTAATTCAGACCCAGAATCTCTGGGGAGTTTTAGATCTTGGATTGCCTCATATGGAGCTGTTTGGAGAAAGACTTCCATGGTTTAAAAAAAAATCTAACAGCTACTAAATTAAAAATCTAAAATTACAAATTAAAGCATCTAGGTGGTGACATAGAGGCCTCTAGAGGTTAAGTGACTTATCTGAATGACACGGCTAAACCAGCAATCACAGGGGTGTGCTAATTGGAAGGAACCTGTGGAACAATCAAGTGGGGGAAGAAAAAACTGGCTTTGAGCCTGGGTGACCAAGGTGAGAGCCAGGGAAACCGAGGGCTGAACGAGTTTTAAGGGGGAACACAGGAGATGAGTTTTGGACCAGGTGAACCTGGGGGCCAAGCTGTGTGAGCTCTGGTCCTATTTGGGGTGGTGATTAAGGCATATCTGGAACCACTCAGCAGTGGCGCCCCACGGTGGAAGCTCCCTTGAGAAACCTCTCTTACGTCAATTTTTCAACAAACCCATGAGACAAATATTATATTAGCTCCATTTTACAGAAGAGGAAATTGGCTCAGAGAAGCTTTGTCACTTGCCCTGGGTTATCCAATGAGGAAGCAATGGAGGTGGAACTTGAACCCAGGACGGCCTGTCCCCGGGGCCAGCACTGGGCTGCGCAAGCTCTGGGGTGGCCTATCTTGTCAGGTCAGAATCCTCGTTTGGCACTTCCCAGGGATCTCAAGATACCAGTAATTCTGACTCTCTTTTTGTTTCTCCTGGAGCCATGGGGACTTCTGGATCCAGCTAGGAGAGACCTCCCTCTTTGGGACGGTTTACGTGCCCCAGCACACTAGTGCACTGTCCCCACCAGACAGCCATCATTTTCAGGGCCCAGGGCTCTCCAAGAAGTCTGAGTTAGGGCAGTCGCACTCTAACTCCTGTACATTCTCTGGCAGCTTGACTAGCTTCAGCTCCACGGGTTATGCAGTTGTACCTGGACACAGCCAAGCCACACAGCCTGTAGGCTCCAGGGCATGGGTGAGACAAAGGCTCCCTCTGCTGTGAACACTTCTAGGCATGTTGGTCAGCATTCACAGAACTCAGGTGTTCCCCCTGTGCTGGCCATGGGGCTCAGACCCGTGCAACATTTGGTGGTCAAAACAACAACAACAAAACAACAAACAAACCCAAAACAAACAAGCAAAATTCGTGATCAACTAAGTTTGGGAAATGAGGAATGAAAACCAAGAGAAGCTTGTTTCTGTGCTAAAGAACCTCATGAAGGCTTTAAACTAGGAAAGATGCTTTGTAGCTCCAACAGCAGAGTGTAGGTTGTAGCCTTTCCCCATCTTTTGGGGCCACAGAGCTGCTCTGCGGTGGGACCCCCAGCTGGCCAGGTGTTCCACAGGACATAACACAGAAATTGCTGATGAAACCCCTTCTGAGGCACTTGTCTCAGTCACCTGGGCCCTGAAATTATGGGAATGTTCGTTTAATTTTTCTCCTTCCAAGGCAACTGCTGGCCTGTTTGGAAGGGAATAGACTCGATAGGACCAAGTAGTCAAGGATCTCTGACTTAAAAATGAATCCTTCCTTAAAATTGCTATGTCTCCCCTAATAAGGGACTAAAATGAGGAATGTCTTCCCTATTCTAGTCAGTATAAACATGTGCTTGCGGCAGGCAGAGGGCTTACATGTCATGTTCCAACTAGTGTTTGTCTCCTTCTATGCCAGGTGCACAGTCTAGGGCATCAGGTGATATCCATGTGTCTAACTTTAGTCCTGTCACTGGACACTTGAGTCCAGGTCTAGAAGCAGCAGCAGAGAGCAGTGGCTGTAGTGGAGCTTTGTAACTGCATGAGCTTTTATTTTTGAGGATGAAATGTGACAGTGTTTGTAAAGAGCTCTGCCCACTGGCTGGTGGCTTATGGTAACAACCCCATAATTGGTAGCTGCTGACATCATCATAATCATCATCACTAGGTCCCTGATCTCACCAGCTGGCTGGCTTAGAGTCCTTTGCATTTTCCAGGTGCTCCCTGGGTGTTTGCTCCTTGAATTCCTGCCCCTGTGCTCCCCACTCTCCAAACCTCATAAGGCCCAGCCCCAGCCTTGCCTTCTCCAGCCTGTTCTGCTCTTTCTTGCCTCCCACCTCACCTGCTGTCCAGACCATATGGTTTTACTCCCTAGGAAATACTGCGTACTATTTTCTCCTGACTTTTTCCTGGGGTTCATTTCCTCCAAAGCCTCACCTCTGAGCAGACAAGGAAAATGCTGTTTCCTAGCTCTGTGCTCCCACAGAATCAGGCCCAGAGCTGAGCACAATGTATGTGCTCAAGAAACACTTATACATTGGTTAACAGGGGCACCATGGTCCAGGACAGTGGTTCTCAAAGTGAGGGCCCTCGGCTGGCCGCATCGCAGTATCTGGGACCTCTTAGAAATGTCAGTTCTGGGCCCACCCTGGACTTATAGGGGGTTGGGTTCTGCTTGTTTTCGTAAGTCTTCCCGGTGATCCTGAGCAAGCAAAGATTTAGAACCACAGGTATGAAAGAGTGAGGGGAGGGTCAGACCCGCGTATAAACCCTGGCCCTGGTTTCCCAGCTATACAAGCCCAGTGAGGTCCCTTCCTGAACCTCAGCTTTTTTTCACAGTAAAGTGGGGGGAAAAGACAATTCAACGTGTAGAATTATTTAATGCAAGGATTCATGTAAAGTCATGGCAAAATGCTTTATACAGCGCCAAGGAGCTTGTGGGCATTTGATGCACATTGGCCTCCAAGCCTTGGCCTTGTTTGTTTGGGTCAAACACAGTGACAGGATCGACTTTCAGTCTGGAGTGAAATATTTGGGTCATGTTCATACATCCGCTGATCACGCTGTCCAAGGGCCCCAGACTCTGGAGAACAGTCAGAATGGCAGCCGATCCACTCTCATTCGCACAGCCCTGGCCTGTCACATGGGCATTTTATCAGCTTCCTCACTCTGTCTTTTGGCCAATGGGTAGAAACAACTTTAGCTGCTGCTTTGGCCCTCTGTGCCGAGGGCATGCTGTGCTATATCCTGCTGCTGGAACCACAGTGAGGCGGTGCAAAAAACCACCCAACCAACAAACCACAGGTCATGTATTAACCAGATGAACCAAAGAAG